CTGCGGTGGCCGGGAGCGGCCACTGCGCTCCAGTCTGGGCGACAGAGTGAGACTCCAACTCAAAAAATAAAAAAAATAAAATGTCTATTGCAGTGTGGGCATATGTGTTTCCTTTGGGGAGACACTGTGGGGGTCTCGAGGGTCTTAATTCCTTCATTCCTTGCGTACCAGGTGAGGGGGAGAGGAGGGTTGTTTGTCTCCACATGGTGGTGTTTCGCCGTCTTGCGTAAGGGAATCACCACCGGCTGCGCAGGGTGAGGGAGGCCACTCCATGGGGTGGGGACAGACTCTGCCGCTCTGTCTCGGGGACCTTCCTGCGCTGCCCATGGGGGCCGTGGGGTGGCCCGCTCCGCACTCACCGCACCAGGAAGGAGTTCCACTTCTCGTGGACGTGGATGGTGTCCACGCCCACATACAGGGACCCTTCCTCGTCCTCCACCGCCAGGTTGTTCTTCCCCAGGGCCACGCGGTAGGTCCGGGCGTTGCTGGGCAGAGGAAGGGACCAGGTCAGGGGGCCTCCCTCCCCCATCCGTCAGTGGGGGGGGGGGGCTCAGGGCTTTGGCAACCCAGCCCCGGGGCCTCTGGGGGACCCACTGGGGGAAGGGAGTGTCTGTCCCCACTGTCGCTTCCCGGGGCGGGGGAAGGGACCCAGGACTTGGAGTCGAGGGACGTGGGTTCCCACTGCAGCCTTGACGCTCCTCGCTAGGTAGCCTGTGCCTCAGTTTCCTCATCTGGCAGGTGGAGGTCATAGCGCATCCAAGCTATGGCCGCCTCTGGCCTGTGTGACCGCAGCAGACCCCTAAGTGTGCCCCTCTGTCTACTCAGAACCCTGCCGGGTGAGTCTTCCAGGGTGCAAGTCAGCCCATGACTCTCCTTTGTTCACATCACTCCATCTCTGCCAGGGTAGAAGCCAAGGTCCTCACGGACCTGCATAATCAGGCGTGTGTGTCCGCTCTAACCACCCCACTCTCACCTCGCTGGCTTCCTCGCTGTTTCTCAGCAGCACCAAGCAGGTCCCTCCTCCGGGCCTTGGCACTGGCTGTTCCCTCCACCTGGACATCCTTCCCCAGATCGATGCTTCCCTCCCTCGCTTCCTTCAGGTCTTCGGTTGAATATGAGAGGTGTCTGCCCTGGCCATCCCACTTGAAATAGAACCCCTCCTACATTTTGTCCTCTTGGGACTTATTTCTCTTCACGATCACCTGGTGTGTCGTATACTTCCTTAAGTGTCTGTCGCTCAGCTTGCCATGAGGATTTGGCTCCCTGCGAGCCCAGGCTTTGTCGTCGCGAGAAAGACTTGTCGACTGACTAAACGAACAACTGAGCTACCGGATGTGGCTTGTTTAGCCCAGTGCCTGCGGTGTGCAGAGAAAGTAGTGTAGCAGGCTCCAGCCCTGAGGGTCGCCTGGGACTTGGGGTACCCTCCCGGGTCTCAGAGGGGCCATCCTGGGTCTCCGGGGTGCAGTCCCGCTCACCTGATGCAGTGGGCAGCGGTGAGGACGAAGTTACTGGCGATCAAGGAGCCACCGCACGTATGCCGCCACGTGTCGTCCTTGAGGTACTGGAGGGAAATCTGCCGAGGGTGGGGAAGGGCCCCATGTCAGCCCTCGGCTGTGGGGCCTCGCCCCACCACCCCGGCCTCCCAGCTGCCCACCCTGCGGCGAGCTTACCTGCCAGGGCCAGCTGTGCGGCCTGGCATCCTCTCCCCCAACCACCCGAGTGGACAGGTTGGGCAGGAAGCTGGGGACCCCGCAGCTGGAGGCTGGGGAGACAGGAGGCAGGTGAGCGAGGCTGGCCTCCCCACGGAGAGGTGGAGAGAGCAGACACGGGCTCCTATTTTACTGCATGGCTTTGGGGGAAGCCACCCGCTCTCTGGGCCTCAGCCTTCCTTTCTGTGTGATGGGAAGAAGAGCACTCACCCAGGAGTTTGCCCTGGGAAGTAAGTTAGACAAGGCATCGGGAAGGGTGGCGAAAGGCCTGGCACGGGGGTGCTTCATATGGCGAGGGAGAGAGAGGGGTGTGCACAGGTGTAAGTGTCGGGTACACCTATATGCTTCAGTCCCTTGTGTTTTCCTTTCTTTCTTTCTTTCTTTTCGGTGGAGACAGGGTCTCACTCTATTCCCAGACTAAAGTGCAGTGGCGTGACCATAGCTCACTGCAGCCTCAACCTACTGAGCTCAAGCGATCTTCCCATCTCAGTCTCCCAAATAGCTGGAACTACAGGCGTGCATCCCATGCCCTGACTAATGGAGACAGGGTCTTGCTATGCTGCCCAGGCTGGTCTCAAACTTCTGGCCTCAATCCTCCCACCTAGGCCTCCCAAAGTGCTGGGATTATGGGTGTGAGCCACTGTGCCCAGCCTTTATTCTGTCCCTTTTAAGATCATGCATAATGGGGTGCGTGTGTGTGTGTGTGTGTGTGTGTGTGTGTGTGTGTAGGTGTGAGCATTAAATCCACAGAATTCCAGACTGTCGCAGCTGAGAAGCTGTATGTCTTGGTCAAGAACATATGCTCCGCCATGAGACAGGCCTGGACTCAAGTTCTGGCTCCACCACTAACCAGCCGTGCGATGTTGGACAAGATACCGAGCCTCACTGAACCTCGATGTGCCCATCTATAAAATGGCAATATTAATAGACCCTATCTCTCCAGGTTGATTTGAGGATCAAATTAGCTCCTGCATGTAAAGGGGTTCGCGCAATACCTGACACACAGCAAACACACAATAAACAGAAGCTCCTATTACTACTGTATTAGCTGGAAGGACTCTTAATCCAGTGCTCTTGTTTGTTGAAAAGTCAGTGAGATTTAGAGAGGTGACCTGACTTGTCCAGGGTGACTCTGCAGAGAGTGAGTGGTGTTTAAGCTAAGTCCCTTGGCACCTAACCTGGACAGTGCTGCTTAAATGAGGGGGCAGAGTGTCCCCAAGGATGAGACGATGCCAGAGAAGGCCGGCCCCGATGGACTCTGGAGTGAGCCCGGGTGAGGGTGTCCGGGGGTCCCTGCCCCTTTCGTGGGGCTTTCCGCACCCCACCTCCAATCCACACCCATCCTGCTTTGTGGATGTGGAAGCAGAGTTGCCCGGCGGGCAGTGGCTCACCCGACACACAGCTGGTTAGTAGCGTCTGAACCCACACTGGACCCCAAAGCACCTTTCCTGGAGCGCAGAGGGTCCCCGGGCCTGTCCTTGCCTCCGGGGGCCAGCTCGAGCATACAGCCTGCTGGCTGCAGTTGGTCCCCACCCCATGGCTTACCGCAGGCCAGGAAAGCGGCGAGGACTGTGAGGCCCAACATGGCTGGATGCTCAGAGCAACTGGCTGTCGGCGGGCAGGGGCACACTTATAGGCAGGAGGGGGTGAAGCCACCTGGTCAAGGCCGAGCCACCCCTTGGGGAGAAACCTGTTCTGATAAGGCCCTTTCCCTGACCTTGGGTGGTTACTGTTTAATTTGGGCTGGAGATGGGGCTTGCTTGAAAGCCTGGATTTTCCAGACATCCTGGGACAGGGCATGTTCTGGGGTGCAGCGTTTTTTTGCCTCCCTCCCTCTCATTCTCGTTCCCCACCTTATTCTTTCTAGTTATCATTTATGAGACACCTACTATGTGCTTGATAATCTTCTATCATTTCATTTAATCCTTCCAACAATGTGCAATAGATGCCATTATCTGCTCTTGAAAGATGAGGGGCTGGGCGTGGTGGCTCGCGCCTGTAATCTTAGCACTTTGGGAGGCTGAGGTGGGAGGATCGCTTGAGGCCAGGAGTTTGAGACTAACCTGGGCAACATAGCAAGCTTCCATCTCTAAAAATTAAAAAAAAAAATCAACGGACTCATTCTTTTAGTCCCAGCTATTCAGGAGGCTGAAATGGGAGGACTGCTTGAGCTCAGATATTGGAGGTTGCAGTGAGCCATGATAGTGCCACTGTACTCCAGCCTGGGCAGCAAAGTGAGACCCTGTCCAAAGAAGGATAAGGAAGCTGCAATTCTGAGGGTCACTGCCGTCAAGGATCACAGCCGGACAGCAGCGGGGCGGTCTTTGCTGTGGGCCTCCTGACACCACCTGGGGCGTCTGGCTGCCGGGATGTGCTGCTGCCTTCTCTGTCTTTAGCATGCTCTTAGGTTCTGCCAACTTCCTCTTCCTCCCTCATACATCGAATTCCCGGGCTTGGGCCCCCTCCTGTACTTGTCGCCAGGGTGTCGAGACCCGGCAGACACTGAGAAGTGCTTGGTTGGCCAAATCCCTGCCTGGAGCCAGCTAAGGGGTTGGCACCTCAGTCTCCCTGTCTCTCAAATGGGTGGATAGGACCAGATGGACTTGCAGGTCCGTTATGATTTCATGACTTGAATGTCAAGGTCAGTGGCAGATCTGTGGGTTCAGAGCACGGAGTGACAGAAGTCCTGTCAGAGTCTCTGGTATCCTGGGGCCGGCCCTTCCCTGGAGCAGCTTGATTGATCCATTTGTTGCAGGCCGGCCGCAGGCTGTCTTCTGTATCCTTCCTTTTCCCCTTTACTCACCCTGAGGTCTCCCTGGAGGACGTTTTCTACACTGGGCTCACCTGTCCCCTTAGGAATTGTTTCCTGATTTTTTTTTTTTTTTTTTGAGTCAGCGTCTCACTCTGATGCCCAGACTGGAGTGCAGTGACATGATCACAGCTCACTGCACCCTCCATCCCCTCGGCTCAGGCAATCCTCCCACCTCAGTCTGCCGTGTAGCTGGAACCACAGACACGTGCTACCATACCTGGCTAAGTTAAAAAAATTTTTTTTTTTGTAGTGACAAGGTCTTGCTCTATTGCCCAGGCTGATCGCGAACTCCTGGACTCAAGCAATTCTCTTGCCTCGGCACCCGCATCCCTAAGTGCTGGGATTACAGGTGTGACCCACTGTGCTCGGCCTGCTTCCTGATTTAAAAGCTCAGAACACCACGCAACCTGCTGTTAACAGTGCTTATCTGGAGTGAAGGAGGATTCTAACTTACATATTGCATACAGCTCAAATTCTTTTTTAAAACAAGCATATGTTACTTGGGCAATATAGAAATCAACAGGTTTGATTTTTTAAAATGACACAGAGATCAGCAGTGTGATCAGGCCCCAACATAGGGTGATCTCAGGCTGTGGGGACATTTCTGTTCCATTCTAGAGGTTGGTCTTGCTACAGCGGTCAGTGGCGACTGCACATACACCTCAGACCCAGCGCTTTGGGTTGCCAAACCCAGCAAAGGGTCACCTCGGCCTGGAGACTGACCCCGTGAGCAGAGATATGGATTGGCTTGGTGACAGGTCTTGGGAGGTGGCGGGGTCTGGAGGCAGAAGGCAAGACACCGGGTTTCTGTCTCAGTCAGCAACTCAGACCCTGGGCAACCGCTTTGGATCTCAGTTTTCTTCATGTCCCTTGATCAACCTGGGAAAATGACCAACTGTGCTTCTTCATGCAGGAGCTTGTTTTTTTTGCTCTCAAAGAGACGCAGTTGTTTCTTAACATCCGGCTCAGCTGTGTACACATGTCCGTAGACACATGTCATGTAGGGACAGATGTGTATACACACACACACACACACACACACACACACACACACACGCGTGCCTCCATGTCCACAGATATGCACACACCAGTGTCATACACACAAAGCATTCGGTTCTATATGGAGACACGCAGAGCTGGGTGGCTGCACATTCGAACATGCACACAAATGTAGAAATGGCCACATATGCATTGATAGTTATTATTATTATTTGTTGAATGATAAGAGAGAAAACGACCTCTTGTGGAAGGAGGTTGTTGGCCGCTCTTGAAGGTGCAGACAGCTTGAGCTTTAGGGGGACATCCTTGTTTTGAGATGTAGGTAGGACTCTTTATGTAAGACTGCACTGGTCGGGCTCGGTGGCTCAGCTTGTAATCCCAGCACTTTGGGAGGCCGAGGTGAGTGGATTGCCTGAGCCCGCGGGTTCGAGACCCACCTGGGCAACTTGGTGAGACCTCATCGCTACAATAAAATCAAAATGAGCCGGGTGTGGTAGTGCACACCTGTAGTTCCAGCTACTCGGAAGACTGAGGCGGGAGGATCGCCGGAGCCCAGCAGGTCGAGCCCAGCAGGTGGACGACAGAGTGAGACTCCAACTCAAAAAAAAAAAAAAAAGACTGCACCAAACTATTGTCTCTGGAGAAAGCTGAGGTTGCCTTTATCTGCTTCAGATCCTGAAGCAGGGCTGTTGAATGCTTGGCTTACAGTTGGACTATACCTTCAAAGGAAGGGAAAAGTCCCACGTTTCCCAGCTGTGGGACTTTTTGCTAGTAACTCAGCCTCTCTGTGCTTCCCCTCTCTCTATAAAGCTGGGGTAAAGATGGCACCTGCCTCTAGGAAACGTGCTGGCATATGGTAAGCACTGTGTGAGTGTTTACTGTTACTATGATAATTGTTGTCACCTGCTTCTTGTGAAAAAGGTTGAGACTGGCGGTCACTGGACACTTTTGCCTTCGTGTGTCCTTTCCGCCATAAGAAAACATTAAAAATTGGCCGGGCAAGGTGGTAGGTACCTGTAATCCCTGTTACTTGGGAGGTTGAGGCAGGAGGATTACTTGAGGCCAGGAGATTGAGACCAGTCTGGGCAACACGGGGAGACTCTAGCTGTAAAAAAGTTGCTTACATTAGCTGAGCCTGGTGGCACAAACCTGTAGTACCAGCTACTCTCGAGAAACTGAGGCAGGAGTATTGCTTGAGCTCAGGAGTTTGAGGCTGCCGTAAGCTATGATCACGCCACGGCGCTCTAGCTTGGGTGACAGAGTGAGACCCTGTTTCTAAAAAACAAAACAAAACAAGCCAACATAAGGGCACGTTTACAATTCTGTTTAGGCCAGGTGCGGTGGCTCAAGCCTGTAGTTTCAGCACTTTGTAAGGCTGAGGCAAGAGGATTGCCTGAGCTCAGGAGTTCGAGACCAGCCTGGGCAACTTGGTGAGACCTCGTCTCTACAATAAATAAAAAAATTAGCCGGGCGTGGTGGTGCAAGCCTGTAGTCCCAGCTACTTGGAAGGCTCAGGCTGAAGGATCACCTGAGCCCAGCAGATCAAGGCTGCAGTGGCCGTGAGTGTTCCTCTGCACTCCAGTCTGGGCAACAGAGTAAGACTCCAACTAAAACAAAACAAAACAAAAACAATTCTGTTTTATGACTGTACGGGTATAAAGATGAACACAATCCAGTTTGATCTTATTTATTTTTTTCCTACTGATTTTAGGGAAATCAAACATTTCTGTGGGCCCTAAAGGCGCCATGGGCTCCAGGCCCTGGTTGGGGTCTTCCTCGCCCACAGGGATAGACAAGTGAGGGGCTGAGAGCATTTGGGGAATGTTCTGTGAGTCATCCTGGGCACCTTCTTGGGCCCTGGAGGGGCCTTTAGCTGTGCCCGGGGGCAGCCGCAAGAAATGTTCTTGCTGGGTAGCAGCTGTGTCGAGGCCCGGGCATAGCTGCCCCTCCTGACCCTGGCCAGGTGCCAGGCCGAGGATGCCATGCCCTCCCCCCACCCAGCAGCCCAGACTGCCTGAGCTGCTGTCGTGACACCAGGTTGGCCGACCTGATTTTCTGCCCTTAGTACCCAAGCCTGAAGGAGCAGCCCCAGGACTTGGGGTCATCTTGCAAGGGGAGCCCCCCGAGGGTGGACTTCCTGCGATCAGAGGGGCGGGGGCTTGGAGTTGGATAGCTGGTGTGACTGTTTTGTTTGCCCAGACTGTGAAGTAGCGGTACTATGTACACAGAAAACATTCATTCATTGACTCATTCCTCCCACATTCATCAAGCACCTGCTTGGACTGGGTACTCAGGGATGACGATGCTATTTCAGCACCAGGGGAGCTCCCTGGTGGGCGGGGTGATAGGTGCTCCTGGGAACTCTGTGGGAGAAGTCTTTCCAGGTGGGAGCTTGATGGGGTGCAGGTTGGAAAGGATCCTTTCTTCACAGACTCTGCGTCCAAAATGAATGCCCCACCCCCACCCCGCTGAACCCTGGGACTTTCAGGGCCCGGAATGGGGCCTCAAAGTCCCCGAGCCGCTCAGGGCTAGACTGTGCTGGAGAAAGAACTGCAGTGACTTGGTGGATGGGGTGAGGAGGTCAGGCAACACGGGGACCTCAGGAGAAGCAGCACCACTGTGGTGGTGGTGGTGGGGGAGAGTCTGAGAAAGGAGGGCAGGTGTCCCCGACAGGGCTGGTGCGTGGGCCACTGGGGCAGGACCCTCGGGTGGCAGCTGTGGCGTCTCAGGGGAGGCCCATTGGAGTGCCAGCGGAGAGGCTGGCAGGGTTTCCCCTCAAAACCAGATGGAAGCATCGGGGCGGGAGGGTGTGGGCTCATGCAGGGCTGGGGTTCCGGGGGGCTGGGGGCT